ACCAATCCAGATCCCATGTGCCTTCCATGACTCACCACCTAGCTGGTTGTTGGCGTCTTGCAGGCACTTCATGAATTGTGTTTTTGTAAGTGGTCGCAACCCAGAATGATGTCTCCAGCTGAACAGTGGATCTACCGTGGTGGGTTGATTGATATTGAGATGATTGGAGAGGGCAGCCTGAGGAATCCAGGATCCGTTACTCCAGATTGAGCCGCCCAAAAAATGTCTTCTCCTGTGAAGATGACTTTGGTTCTCGGAAGGCGAAAGACCGTTACTCAAAGACCGTGTCTGTCTTCTTTGCCTCGCATGTCTCCGACCTTGACATGTGCACTAGGGTCAAATCCTCACAAGGTGGGTACTGTAAACTCCCCCATCCTTGCTATGGTGAAGAAGGAGGTGGTAAGGCAGGCGTAAACTGTGGCGTGCAAGGGGGTTGATAAGTCGAGACCTGCGTGTAAGGTACTGATTAGTTCCACCGTGAATGGCGTTCATTTTGGGCGTGTTGAAGTTTTGGGTGCTAGCCGTTTAGCTCCTTCTAGTGCTCCAGAAACTTGATCATGATTAACGAGCCAATCTTGGCCGTGGAGCAGGTGCCAGGCACGAATGGAGTAGAGATAGTTCTCGAGTGTCTTCCCCGAGTACATTCCCGCTGTGACAATCATACCGGCACTAGGCGCGTATGAATGTCATAGGCATATTTTGACTTGCCTAGAAGAAAAGAGTAAGACGCTAGTCACCAGTGCTATTCAGCTCCCAAGCTATCTGCTTTGGAACCACTTTTCTCCCATAGCGTGCTACCCGGTCTGACGTCTAGGTGTTCCGCCCTCCCATGTCCTGCCTATGTCCACCTACCTCCGCTGGTGCATTATATTTCCTTAAATGTCGCTACTCATCAGTCGCAGGTCTTATTACATGTGTCCTCATGCTCCGCAGCGCTGCATGTTCTACTACCTGTCACTACATCGTGCCCTCGCCAGTGTCGTTACTATACTCGCCTACGCATCCCGAACCCCTATGCAGTATGATAAAATGACCTGTCCTACATACAGTACAGTACTTCCCTTCCCTGGACCTTTGCTGGTGTCGGAGTCACTTTAGTCGCTATATCTTAGTTTTGGTCCAATCAATTCTGCTCTTGCCAATCTCTCCGATCGTGTGTCGCTTGACTTGCTTTAAGTGCGCGTCGCTAAAGTTGCCTCATAAGTTTGATTTTCACAACGTCGGGATCGCTATCGGTAGTTGAGCTATAATCTAGTCGCTATTGGGCATTCTACTTGCACTATCATACCTTATTCCTCGCTTTCCCTTCTTTTGATTTCTTCTTGCTGTCGCTAGTCGGACGTCGCATAGCGCTATTGCATAGGACAACTTGCATAGTGCTACTTACTTATACGCACGTTTCTCTGTCGGAACTCACTTGTTGCTAGTCGCTGATCGCTACAGCGCTACTCATTGGTTTTTGGTCTTAGGTCGCTATAGGTTATTTAGCCCTTCGCATCATTGCTACCCTTGCATATTTGAAGGGAGTTGCTTCAATAGCAGTCCTCTTGGGTCGAATACTATACTCGCGCCTATTTGGATAAGTAGCGCTAGTTTCTAACCAGCCTAGTCACAATTACTCTTTCACAGCGCACAGGACGCTATAAACGCTAAGATCAGAAGTGATGATGCAGGGCAGCGTTGCTTTTCCGGTATGTTACGCTTGTCACAAAACACGTGAAAAACCAGAAGACCTGAACCATAGGTTTCCCGTGTGCTGGGAGCGTGTGAATGAGCAATCACTATCAGAATACGATCCAGATCATCCTCCAATATTGTGATTTGTTGGCCAGTGTGATCTAAATGAGAACGAGCGATTACTGGGATCCAGAGCAGAAGACGCTCTCTGGCCAGGCAATGTGGGCGTAGAGGTGAGGCTTGTGGGGTCAGACTAGTGTGATAAGAACGGGGCTGGGCTACCGTGGGGGCTGGTGTTATGAGAGGAAGTGTTTGGAAGTGGGAGACGTTAGTCTCTCCAGGCGTCCTGGAACTGGAGGAGTTGATGACCCCAGTCTGCATTGGGCGTCTCGTCAACCAGCCTATCATTACATCCCTCCCAATTATCGTTGGGCACAGCACGCCCGGTGTTTGTTGTTCCTGTGGAGAAATTGGCGTCGACAAGGAAATTGGAGAGGTCACCAGGGAGGGTAATGGGAGGGAGGAGAAGGGATGTAGGGGGAAAGATTCCCCTGGAAGGTCCGTCCGCGGGGTTGTTGGCACTAGGAACATAGCATAAGTGGAATGAGGGGTCCTCTGATATAGATTCAAGGTGCTGGAGGATCCTGCGGAAGACAAGGTTTGTGGCCCAGTTCCGACTTCTCCTGTTTCACCAGCCATTGACCACTCCTTGGTTGTCACAGAATACCCAGAAGTGATTGAACGGTCGCCCTTGACATTCCATGAGGATGGTGAGCGCGAGCAACTCAAAACCGACGCATTCGGCCCAGCCAATGTCTCGCTGACCATTGAGCATCTTCCAACCTGGCCGGAGAGTCCATGCATGCCAATACCCATTGATAACAATTGCGATTCCGACGGTTGAACTGGCATCACAGAAGGCATGAAGGTCGACAAGGGTGTGAGGTTGAGAGATGGACTTCCCGACGAACGGTTGGGCAAGTGTTTTGCACCACCAGTCAAGGTCGTCGCGAAGGTGTCGAGGGGGATGGTGTGGCATGAAAGGACAACTATTGGAGATGTTGAGCATGGTCTCCAATGAGGTGAGGTAAGCATGCCCCATGCAGATGACCAGGCAGGAGTGAAGCAGTTTACCATATAGTTTTTGGACATCCAGAAGGACGTGCGTCTGATGTGTGCACCAGTTTTCAATCACATCCAAGTATCTCCTCTTCTTCGCAATTGATAGTCGGACGGACAAATCTGGGAGGTCCCACAGGAAGCCAAGGTACAACGCCTCATAGGCAAAGGCTGTGTCTTTGGTCAGTTCCCATGGGGTGCCCATCGGCATAGAGGCTCTATCAATATCTGAAAATGTGCAAGTGAATTTCGCATCAATGGAAGCTCGCGGGGAGGATTGAGAGAGGTCGCGTAGTCTAAACCGACAATCCTCTGCATACACTTCGAATGTTTCGTCTTCGAAGATTCTGCCTTGGTACCATAGACGACCACCTGTCTGCCTTTTTCCTTCCATGGCCAATGATGCATGTATCTCCCCCCTAAGTATGTTATAGTGCGCCAGATATTCGCATAGGATCCGAAAGAAAAGATGGTCGTCCACCCATTTGGCCAGTGGGCCAATGCCCTCGGCTCGTAACAGGTCAGCTCCTGCATCGGTGACATGTCCATACGCTCCTGCTGAAGGACCCATCCCGAACGAGATACAGGTATCCACGCAGAAATCGCCATCTGGAAGGCGAACCATGGCAGCTGGCCATTGGGAGTGATGAAGGGGTATTGTGCGGTAAGCTTCAGCAACATCATGCGAGGCAGCTTGTGAGCCAGGAGGAAGAGATAGAATGATTGTACAGATGGTGTCAAAGGTGCCCCAGGTGCAAGGAAAATCGTCTGAGTTAACTCGTGAGTTGATTGAGGGATTAGGATAGGCCGGGGAAGGAACCAGTGGGAAAGAGTAGTTCTGAATGACGCGAAATTTTCCGAGCCCATTCAGTCACATTGCATGTATTATACATGCAGCAAATGTTGAAAATATGCTGTTCCACACAGGCCAGCGGACGTCGGCCGACCAAATATCTATGTCTGTGTTTAACATTCGGCCAGTGGGCTCATGGAGTGATGGTTTTAACAGCTGGGCCCATGCATTGGGATGCTTGACATTAACATATCGGCCAAGGGCCAGTAAAATCGGTGGTGTGATATTGTCAGCTGGGCCCACACACTATAGCTACTGTGTGTACCGATCAGCCGATGGCAAGTGTCTCATCCAGCCGATGATGGGGGTGAAGCATATATGTTCCTGTGCGGATTGGTCTGGCAATTGTGGGTATGATGCCATCATATGGGCCGAGAGACATGAACAGGTATTCATGTTCTCGGCCAATGTGATTGCATCATATATGCAGTTTTGTCGGCCCATACGTTCACATCAGTTTCATCGGCCGATCTGATAGCATCAGGTATTCAGTATTCTCAGCCCATGTGATAACATCAGGCAGTTGCATGGGCCGACCTGATGGCATCAGGTATTCAGTATTCTCGGCCCATGTGATAACATCAGGCAGTTGCATGGACCGACCTGATGGCATCAGGTATTCAGCATTCTCGGCCCATGTGATAACATCAGGCAGTTGCATGGGCCGACCTGATGGCATCAGGTATTTAGTATTCTCAGCCCATGTGATAACATCAGGCAGTTGCATCAGCTGACCTGATGGCATCAGGAATTCATTTCCATCGGCCCATACAATAACATCAGGCATTCAGTTTCGTCGGCCCATACGTTGTCATCAGTACCATTGGCCAACTTGATGGTATAAGGAATTCATTTCCGTCGGCCCATACGATAATATCAGGCATTTAGTATATTCGGCCGACATAATAGTATCAGGTCTATTGGCCGATATGATGGCATCAGGTATTTGTTTTGTCGGCCCATATGATAATATCAGGCATCCAGTATACTTGGCCGACATGATGGTATCAGGTCTTTCGGCCAACATGAGGGCATCATGTATGTATTAATAGCTGACACCATCATGTTGGCCAATGGTACTGATATGTTGTCATATGGGCCGACAGAAAGGTATACCTGATGCCATCAGGTCAGCTGATGAAACTGCATACCTGACATTATCATATGGGCCAAGAATACTGAATACCTGATGCTATCAGGTCAGCCGACAGAACTGATGTTATCATATGGGCCAATATGTAACTGAATACATGATGCTATAGGATGGACCGGTCGGTCAGTCGGTCACCGAATAAAACCATTGGTTATTATCATACTATCACTGCGCTATGTAAGCCGAGACAGAAACATATTAGTCTACACCCATGTAAGTTGCATATGATGGCCGAGGTGTCCCCACAAAATTCTGAAGGCTGTCACATATGAACCAAGCCCACACAATGCGATCGCCGGTGTATGTGACACCATGCCTGACAAAGTGGCCAGAGCAGCTGACCATAGCGCCCAAGTTATATTGCAACCGAATACCGAGGTTAGATAATGTCATGAGCCCGTTACAATAATGGCCAACACTGCTCATGACATCAAACCCTTTGGGAGTAGAACTTGGATCTTGGTGAAGAGGACATTGTCTGTTGCAAATTACAGCTGCACAATTAAACACCGAGGCCCAAAATTGCAGGCAAGTGCTCATATCACTGAGGCCACGTTCCACTGCCCATCGGGCAAGTTTGATATGTGTCACATATTGCAGTAACATATCTCCGTATTATACGAGTGGACGGACGTGCATAATATCCCGTATGATACGGGCCAGCGGACCATGGGCCGAGGGTAGATATATCCTCGACTGTGACGGATGGGCCGGGAGTGTTATTATTCCCGATGGAGACGGGTGGGCCCAGGTGGGGAATATGTAAAGTAGATGGGTGGGCCGATGGACATGAATTTTCAATAGACGGATCGGCCGAGGTAGTTGGATATTATGTAGATGGGTTGTACCAAGGTAGATATGTATCAAATAGCCGGGTATATCAAGGGTGCTT